AGCTATGCCCGGCCGGGCCCCATGAGGGGAGGCCCGGTCACCAGGCGCTCGCTTTCGAGCCCCAATCCCGGGCCTGGCTCCAGGGTGGCGCCCCGGCTGCGCCATGCCGGGTGACGTCACGGTCCTTGATTTTAATTTATTCATAAAGGGCTTTTGAACTGCTCTTAGTCTGACCCGTCACCCAGGACCTGTTTGCCTTGGGAGACCCTACCAGGGACATATAGCCCCCAACAACATAGCTCCTAGGATCACTCGGGTACTCAAACCCCTCCACCACAATAAGGTGGCGGTTCAAGGAGGGGCTCTATTCAGCTGGAGCAATCTACAGCTGTATGAGATCACCTGTATTTTTCATCATGCATAATAAAGACGGCTTTGTTTTTATATCACAGTAGACATTAGATGCACACTCAAAGTCAGCTGGAGGTAAAGTATCTTCTTACATTGTTGTTTGGAAGATGATGTGTCAGCCTCATTTCTTGAGGACCTCTGACTTCCAGAGTATCTGTAGTGTCCCGGTGACTGCTGGTGTCTATCTGCTGTTGGAGGACAGCCACTAAGGATTGAACAGATGCCACCAGCTGACTGCTCACCTTCAAGCCTGGCTCAACTAATTACATAAACAGAAAAGGTCTTCAGTACCATAACATCAATCAATCAAATTTTATTTGTATAGCGCCAAATCACAACAAAAGTCATCTCAGGACACTTTACAAACTAAGGTCTAGACCTTACTATTATCACTATTATTACAGAGGGAAAACCCAACAAATCCCCCTTGAGCAAGCACTTGGCGACAGTGGGGAGGAAAAACTCCCAACATCAAATATAACACATAATTAAGTACCTCCAAATCATGCTCACACATTATGAAGACATACAGAGATTCAGAAATTAAATTTGATACATTACAGACACAGGATCGCATGAAGAGACAGCAAAAATACATATATGCTGAGTAAGAAAGTCACATTTGGCACGTGTTTTACGCCGGACGCCCTTCCTGATGCAATCCTGACTCGAACCTGAGCCGCAGCGGCGAGAGCACTGCGCCTTAACCACTAGCCTTAAATAAAATGTGCACAAAATAAAGGGGCTGAATATCTTCTACAGCAACTGGCATAATTATAACAGTATCACAGAGAGGCACAGAGCCTTGTCCTAACTATTTGAGCTGGTTCATAACTTTAATGTTTTGTGTGTGAGTTCCATTACTTACCTGTGGAGTCATCTTTTTCTTGGGTGTCGGAGGATTTGACTTTTAGACAATGTTGTGAGGAATGGGAAACAGAAGAGTGGGTTGTGGCTTTAGCAGCAGCTCTGCTGGTTCCTGTTGACCTGGAAGTCGCTGCTGTTTTCCCCTGGTCTTTTATGCCTCTCACAGAAGGAACAGTAGGTTTCCTCACTGAAGCTGTAGAAGCATGAGAAATGGTGGAAATACGGGTGTCCTGCAAAAAACATCCACAATTCATCATGGCTACACAAGAGTGTATTAAAAGAAAAGGTAGGGAACACTTCCCATTCAATCTGACGGTCCTTGAGAGGATCTGCCAGGAAGAATGGGATAAACTGCCCAAATCCAGTTGCGCAAAGTTTGTAGAGATGCAAGACTGGAAGCAGTAACTGCCGCCACAAGGGCTTCTAAAAAGTGCTGAATGAAGGCTCTGAATACTTTTGTATGTGAGAAACTTCAGTTTTTGATTTTTACGAAATTTGTAAAAATTTCAAAAAATATGTTTCACTATGTCATTATAGGCTATTATGTGTAGATTAGGAAGAAAATAATTAAATCAACAACACAGTGTGCAAAAACTGAAAGGGTCTAAATAGTTTTTAAAGTGACAGCATATGTAGCTCCATACATTATTAAGACTGGCTCAGCAATCCCAAACCCAGTCTACAGCAGAGGCTCCCAGAACACCATCATTACAGAGTACCGAGTGCAGACTGATGGGCAATCATTAATTTCATCCATTTACTATTTAATCTACAAGACAATAAAATGTGTTAAAAGTTAAGAGGTCTGAATACTTTCTGAAGCCACTTTATAGTTCTACCAGGTTAATATCAGGAACTTTCCCATACTCACAAGAATAACTTAGCACTGTATAATTACAATAATTCTAATAAAAAGTGACTCTTTATACAATTTTATCTGTAAAATTCAATACTGTTGCTCTAAATGAGCTGTTAAATCAAGTCTTTAATCTCTAAAACAACTAAAGTCCAAGCACTGTTGAAGTTTGTCTCACTGGTTGTTTCTTAGCTTTGGCAGCCTGAGCAGTCTTGTAGGAAGAAGGGCTCTTGTGATCCTGCATCATGCATCAGACTCTTGACTTCCTCTCTGATGTTCCATGGCAGATCATGGTTGAAAGGTTTTGGGGAGCTGGATGGGTGACTCATCAGTCTCTCAGTCTCAGCCTGATCTGGTCGTGTCAGTTGAGACTTTGTGTAAGTCTCTTCTGAGACAGTCCTTTCCAAGGAGTCAGAGGTCTTTTCTTGGTCAGGCTCCACAGCTCTGTAATCAGAAAATGCAGAGCAAAAACCACAGTAAACACATTCTTTCTGTATCGTACAGACAGCAAAGACGGGCTAATGATGCTCTATACTTGGCCTTTTAATTTGCCTGCGGGTTTGGTGGCTGATAGAAAATTTTTCAGAATACAAACGGTTTCTTTAATAAATGTGAACGTTTTTACAAAAAGGAGAGACCAAGTGTAATAACTAAACTCAAATGAGGGAAATTCAACATGGTGTCTGCTAATGGCCCTGAAGGCAAACATGCTCCTTATTTCTGCAAATGCCACTTGGCAATTACATTTCAAACTTTAACTTCAAACTCATTTACAACAGAGAAAGATCTCTGTGTGATGTTTACTGTACAATATAGTGTTGAAAAACTGTGCCCTGGGTCGTGTTCTTTATACATGGTTAACCAGATCAGATTGCTGATGATTTGACAGGAGTCTGAATTTTTGGTTCTTTAAAGCTGGTTTAAAATTCCTGTGGAGCTGTTGCCTGAGCAATCCTTACGCCCACCTGCAGTAGTGCAGCTTATGAACAGTTAGCTGGATCATGACAAGACAATCCATACATGAACTCATTTTCAGGTTCCCTCTCTTAGAAATATGAAGAAAGAATATCCATACAAGTATCATTTTAGATGAGAAGACACAGGTTATTGAGAAAGCACTACAATCTGTATATGTAATTATCACAATGTAATTACCTACACTCATACATGATAAAAAATACAACAAAATAAAAGTCTAAACAATAAAAAAAAAGAACATATTCAGATTTTGAGAGAGACTGAGCTAAAAGATGAGATCAACTAAAAGATTGACTGTTAAAAGACCAGTGGAGACACATTTAATGTGACATTAAAATGGGAATGTGTCATTTAAACTAGGGATACACTGATTTCACTTTGCAGTTACATGAGGCAGATGTGTTGGAAACCCCTCCAGCATGGATTGGTGTAACAGATTCATGGACATAACTCTAATTTTATATGTTAATGGTGTTATTCTGTTTTGTGTTGTGCTCCACAAAGTTTCCACTGGCTCAACACTTTCATGATTGATAGTTATAAGGAAATGCAGTCTACTACATGTAGACTGTGAGTGATATTGTCTGCGTGCTTGGCAAGGTTCTTCGCTAAGGACAAGCAAGATATAGTGATGATTACAAGGCTGCTGTATAAATGACTAATAACCCCATCGCTTAAAAAGCTATTTTACTTGCATACAAAATTTTCAGCAAATTTAGCTCTGCAATTAATGTTTAATTTTCAACAACCTGCTCATGTCCTCATATAAAATGACTATTTTATTAGCACTCTTTCATTACAAATTTAAAAATAAGCCATTTATATCTGAAAGTGTTAATTTTGAGGTTTACCATAAAATACTTTTGCATGATTCAACTACCTTTCAATACACCTGCACTTTTGTAAATTTTGCCTTAAAGTCTTGTTGCTTTGACGAGAGGTCCAGATGAATTAGATGATTTTGCAATCCTAACCTGACAGGCTGGAGGGTGAACCCTCGGATATGGTCCTTCTCTGGTCGAATAGGCCTCATCAGCTCTTCTGCAGTGGGTAGCTCTAAAAACAAACACAAAAAATACTACAGGCCTGTCATGATCTTAGCATATATAAACACATCAGACAGTCATGTGTTCCATTTCAGACGTCTCCTCCTTTCATGGAAATGGCCCATAATGCTACGACCTCTGGTTAACAAAAAAGCTAGTATGCTGAAACTGTACACTCTCCCCAATTAGAGGATTACACCAAAACCACTATGATTTTAAGGGTGCCCACCCAGGCTTTCAGAGACAAAAGAAGAAATGTACAATTATACAAACAAGGGACTCCACCTCTTCCACAAACACTGGAGTATCACAGTGTCTAACCTGAGTCATTGGTAGAAGCAAGCTGAAGAGACTGCCTGGCATTTAGAGGAAGGGAGGCTGGAGACACATGTCTGTAAACTGTCCCCCTCTCTTCCAGAGATGAATAATGGTGATTATGGTCCTGTGAATCCTCTGCTACATGGATCTGTCTATAGGCCTCATGAAGAGCCTCCATCTCTGAACCTCCACTCTGCACATACAGCAGGCCTGTACAGAAAACATGTTTAATGTATTCTGTCAAACACAGTCCAAAATAGAACTTAAATGATCCCATGGAGAAACTGGATGGAATCATGCACTAATCCTTAGATTGTATGTTCAAAAATCATTTCTTGTGAGAAAACATATTTACAACTGGGGTAACACAGTGGGGGAATGGTTAGCACTGTTGCCTGATAATGTAAAGATCTTTGGTTCCCTGGGGCTTTTCTGTGAGAAGTTCTCCCAGTGCCTGTGTGGGTTTCCTCCAGCTCCCTCCCACAGTCCAGAGATGTGCAGTTGAAGTTAATTTGCAACTCTGAATTTCCATATGTGTGAATGTGAATATGAATGGTTGTTGGCTATGGCTTGAGCCCCAACGCAACCCAAGCATATGCAAGTATAGTTAAAGAATGGATGGACTTCAAGTTTGCATTATACTGCCTGTTGCTTGTTTTATTTCACCTCTAATGTTACTTCTCTTTTTTGTGTTACCTCTGTTCAGTGATCCTGCTTTGTCCTTCCTTATGTCTTCTCTGCCAGTGTCATCCAGAGAATCATACAGAGAAACTGAGACAGTGGTTAAGACAAATACAGCAGTGAACAGCTAATAAAGATAAAGTTTGTTTATACAGTAGGCAGCCTTTAATTTGAACTAATACTTCTGAGAAATACACAAACACACACACACATTACTGGTAGTGAGGTCATTATAATATTACTAACGTCATTTTCACTGTATTGTACCATTTCATTATATAAATATGGTATACAACTTGTTTTGTCTTTGGCTTCAGCCATCAAACTCCATGCACATTTTCGTTGGAAAGATGTTATTCCACCCACTCCCCAGTGCCTTACCTTTGGCAAGAATTGAAGATATCTTAGACTTCTGAGAAACAAATAATATGAATTACTGAATCAGGCAGCAATATAATATGTCAGTTTGTGATATTTCAAAATAAACAAAGAAAGCTTAGAACATGTGTCTTCACCAAGCGGCAACCTCCGAGGCTGAGAAATGAAGCCAAAGCAAAACCTGCAGTTCCTCAAACTGGCTCCAAAGGGGAGTCAATCCCAATAGACTCCCAGGTTAAAATACCCAACTTTAGAGCAGAAATAAACATGTTTACAGCCTGGTGGTACAAACAATGGTTTTGGTTGCTTTAGCCAATTTCCCCTTCCATGATAACTGTACAGGTGGATTTTTTTTTTTATAACTTACCAGTTAAAATTATGTTGAGACTAAAAGTTGCACATAATTAAGGGCATGTCCGCCTTGAGTGACTGGTGAGAGGTTCCCATTATAGATGGCTGGCCACTAGTTATTAACAAGCTCCACCTGGCCTCAGGTCTGAACCAATACAAACTAAATCAGCATGTTAAGCTGCTTTTACCAATGTGAGCATTCATCACTTTAATCAGTTTAGAGTGAAATATGCTGCTCTTGAACCAACTGGACTGGTAAACTATCAAGTTCAGGAGGAGCTCAGTGGTTTTTGAATGGTCTCCCACCCCTCTATGACCATCTATTAACACAACTGAACTTCACTAGTAAGCAGATCATGAGTTGAGACTGTCACATAAAGTGTTATCAAGTTCAAGAGGGGAGTCACTAAGGCCCTAACACATGAATTTATTCATTATATCTATACTTCAACTACAAACCTCCTTTAGTTGCTCATTCCCATTTTCCTCAGCCTCAAAATCCTCACTATAATGTGGAGAACCTGTAAAAGAAGAAATAGAAAGGAACTGATTAAGACACACCGTGAGCCACAAAACAAAAAAGGTCTGTCAAGCACTCATTACTCTTACCTTGAGAGATTCTTATGCTTTCTGCAACTCTGACCCTACTTTGATCATCATCACTCTGCTCCACTGCACCCTCAGTTTTCCTGCAGTGAAGATATGCATCCAAAACAATGCAGTCACTACCCTGATTTTCAGGGACAGAGGAGCAGCAAAGCCACTGCCCCAGGGGTTACAGAATGCGCTTAATATTTACAAAGATAAAGCTACTTAATAGGCCTGCATAATATAAGGAAAATCTGCAACACAGTGTCTGTCATAAATCCAAAATAATTCCAAATAGCAGAGGTGCTGTTATTTTTCATCACAAGAGCATCATCAACAATTTTCCTTTATCTTCTCTTCTTCCTCTGGGACTGTCACCTCACTGTGTAGGAGACAGCCCTGGACACATTTCTCAGAAACAGTTGGAGATGGCTGTGAGCTACACTTTAACAGACACGGGCAAACAAAACAGACACATATACTGACAACCAGCTACTTAGTTCTTTTGTAAAAGTATACTGCTTGAAAACACTTCCAATCAAGCACAAATCTAAACTTTATGTGGTTTGTCCTGGTGTTCTCCAAAGAAGGGCCTTCTTCTCCTCATTCTGGTGCACCAAACAGCAATTTCCTGTTGGTAAGGCAAGACTCACTTCAACTGGTCAATTGACACAGAATCCAACCACTGGTGACAGGATATGTTTGAAAATTGAATGTAAATGTATAGTGTGTGTAAATACTTTTTTTTCCCCCATTCATCGCATTTAGGCAATCTTCTGTAGTGTGTAAACTGCACGTTCATATGATGACGGTGAAAACACACTTTATTAGTCGAGCACTACTATTTAGCCAAAGCCATTTAAACTAGTGAAAAACTGAAACTTTGTGAAGAGCAGCCGAGTAGCAGCAAACAGGAGCCTGATAGATTTGACTGGCTCACAGAGGGTTCAGTGGTCCACGGTAGGTGTCCACAACTAGTTATAGAGAACTCATGACCTTGATTCTTGTCTTAAGTTACAGAATCAGAAAAGGCATCAATTCTGCAGCACTACAATTATAGTAGATGAGAAGGAATGTAATGCATACACTCACCTTCCACTTTATCAGCTACACCTGTACAGTTCAGTGGAACATTCAATTATTTATTATTGACACCATAGCTATAGGTGGTGTTGTACTGGACGACATTATATTCAGACGTGTAATATTCTGACCCTCTCATGTATGTAGCTGGGGAGCACAAAAATATAGACACCTCTTAATATAATGTAGTCCAGTATGATCTCAATAATAAACATATAATTGAATTTATACATTTAGTACTATTTTACCAAAAACTGAAACATTTTGAGCTTCATAAACACAGATGTTAAGACAGAAGTGTTGCATCAAAGTGCATACAATTGTACAGGTGTACCTAATAAATTATGATGTATAATAATGATAATGATAACAATGAGGATAAAGATAAATGATAAAGATAATAATAAAGAGGCTGGTAAGTGTATATACACACATTTAAAATAACAGGAACAAATAAAAACACCTAAAAAAAAACAGGGAGAAAGTCTATATGGAAGCCTATCCATAAAATCTGTGGTACACAAACAACTGAATTAAAAATGGAAACCGCATGGATTGCAACCACGAACCATGTGTACCCATTCTTGAGTGGCATGAAGAAATGATTTTTGGTCATTTTTGCTCAATTTGATAGTTGACAGACAAAAAACAAGGGAAGAATAACAGGGGTATGACACGCAACAAGGGTCCCCCACCCAGGAATCCAACTGTGAAAACTGCAGTTATATCCTTTGTGCCACATTTACCATTTTAAGTATCCAGAACAAAATTTACCCATCCGGGCTCATCATACAAGTTGTGTACAAACAGTGTTCTCCACAGGTGAAACAAAAGGTCTTGATCTGAATGAATTCTAAAAGTAAGCACTTGGCCAAAATATACTAAATTCCATATCCAGTCTCTGACTATGCAATTTCCATTTACAAAGCTCAGACTGAAATATGAAAAACTGAAAACAGAGGAGAGCAACAGCAGTGACAGGGGTCAGTGGAGAAACAAGAATGTTTCACATTGTTGGACATTTATGGAGAAGCTTCTGATCAAGCCAAACTGGTAGGAACATGCTATAACGAAGCAGTTTTTGAGGACATGGCATGATTTGACCCTCATACAAGTTATACCGTTGTTAGTCTTGAATGCTTGTGGCTCACGTTTCAGTTAAGTCTGCACGTGTGGTAGTTTAGGACCTCTGTGAGGTTCAACAGAGTTGCATATAAGTCACTTACAAACATGAACATGAAACATCAATACAATAACATCAGATCTGACAAAAACATCAGAACTGACCATTAAGGCCTGCAATAGGAGTGTCATATCATACCAAGGCAATCTCCATACCTGAGGACAGAACCAATGGCAGAGGTAGTTGAGTCCAGCTCTCTGTTCAGTTTGGAATAATTGATAGCTGATGAGGTGCCTGCTTCTAGTTGGGCAAAAAACTTGGCTTTCTCTTCTTCCTCCTCCAGAGTGTCCAAGCCCATACTGATCATGTGCACAGCTGGTACCATGACATACATATAAAGAGAGAAATCATGACTGTGATCTGTGTTTCTGAAATGAAAATCTGAAAATCTATGTGAGGATAAAGGATAAATGTAAAGTGCAATGATTATGTGGAACACAACATTGAGGGACTGTGGTAAAACATACTTGCTATCTGGAATAGTGATTGTTCTGAAAGGCCTTCACTCTCATTGGACAGATCAGAACATTTTGGTATTAGGCAAAATAGTATATACCCATGTTCCATAGCATATCAAGGAAAGTTATTTATTATTTCACAGTTTCAAGAACTTCCCTGTAGTTTTAAAACAATAATGCCTACTGATAAAATTTATCTAATTAATGTGACGTAGACAAGAACAAACTGCAGAAACGGATGGATTAAGAAGCTTTATTTATTTTATTGTCATTATAACATTGTGACACGTACAACGAAATTTTGTTTGGAGCTGAGGGGCCCCAGGCCACTGCGTGCATACGCGCTGCCTTCACGGGCAACTTGGGGGGTTCAGTGTCTTGCCCAAGGACAGTTCGACATATGGACTGCAGGCACCGAGATTCGAACTTTCAACCTTGAGGTTGGGAGACGACTGCTCTACCCACCGCACCACTGTCGCACCCCCAACCAAGTGAAAATGTTAAATTTTTGCTAAAACTTGCCCATTATGAACTAATAAACTTCTTAGCTACTACAACTAGCAGAAGTGACCTGTTTGCTACAGGTCTGAAGGAGCTGACCAAAACTCTATAAAAAAAAAAAAAATTCAACAGCATCCTGGGCCCACAGTTCAGTCATAATAATCCCTGTTTTAGTTTTTCAAAATACATACTAGTTCTTGTTTACATCCAGATTCCCTATGCTAATATAAAAGTGCTCAAGACTGTGCGCTGTCTGTATGTGTCAATATAATGAGTCAACAAGCTGTTGTTTTACTCTACAGTTATTTGTTTTTGGCATCTACAGTATATATTGATTTGCACTCACCCTTAATGTCTGCTCTATGGTCCACATTCCATGTGGAATGATCGTAGATTTTCGTGGGTGCATGTTATGCATATGTGTGGAAATTACAATAAAGGTGAACCTGACTTACCCTCTGACTCTGTGTTGTCTATGTTGAATACAACTGTGCCCAGCCCTTCTTTCATCACTCCAGTGTCTCCTGAATTCTCATCCTCCTCCTGAATAGGCTGAGACTTCCTCAAAGACTTTCGGAAAGATTTCCCAGATCCCAGCAGGCCTAAACAAAAATGTAATTTAAAACTGTAAATGAAAGCATACATTTAAAAACACAGTACAACTGATGGTTGTGTAAGGTAATGCAAGATGTGTATGTAGGTCATGTCACATACAGTGGAAAGAAAATGTAAATGCACCATCTGGAATTACCTGTTTGTTTTTTAACACGATTCGATGTTCATTTAAGTCAAAAGTACAAATAATATACATGAACAATCAGAATTTGTCATGTCTTTATCGAACCCAGACTTTAAATATTTAAAGTTCTGGTAGAAAAAGTTAACCCTTGGATTTAAGAACTGGTCGAAGTTAGCATTAAACTCAAACAAGCACTTCCTGTAGCTGTGGATTAGAACTGTACAACATTCACAAGGACTTCTGAACCATTCTTCCTCAAAGAACTGCTTCAGCTCAAACATATTCCCAGGATGTCTATTGTGAATGGCTCTCTGAGCTCAATCCACAGCATCTCTGCTGGGTCAAGCTCTGGACACTAACACACCACATAGCAGATTTTCTTAAAGTAAATCAATTATTGGAACCTATCAAGCAGTATACCTTGTATTTCGCCCCGCATAACCTCCCGGGTTGACGCAGCCCATCATGCTTTGTTTTTCCACTGTAGGTCGAACAGTGTTCAGCACTGTCACCTCACGGCAAGAAGGTTCCTTATTCAAGTCCCGGCTGACCCAGGGCCTTTCTGTGTGGAGTTTGCATGTTCTCCCTGTGTCTGCGTGGGTTCTCTCAGGGTACTCTAGCTTCCTCCCACAGCCAAAAGACATGCAGCTTAGGTTGACTGGCGGCTATAAATTGCCCGTAGGAGTGCGTGTGTGTGGTTGCTTGTCTACATGTCAGCCCTGTGATAGACTGGCAAACTGTCCAGGGTGGACCCCGCCTCTCGCCCAATGTCAGCAAGGATAGGCTCCAGGGCCCCCGCGACCCTGTTCAGGAATAAGCGGTATAGGTAATGGATGGATGAATGGATAGATTTTCTCTGTGTTGGGTCTCTATTTAGAGGAGGGAGGAGCTGGGACCCTCTCACACACACACACAAGTGAGCTGAGTGAGAACAGATGTGGAGGATCACGCCACCGTGCAACAATCAGCCAGTAGAAGAGACTGTATGAGCAGTTTATCAAACAGCTGTTGAACAAGCAGAACACAGACTTGCAGAACAGTGATGTCTTCACCACTCTGCCCATGGTCCACTCACTGAAGTGCCCATTTTGCCTCTAAACCAACAAGTCAAGTCCTCGTTGGACGTCTAAACCAATGTAAGTGCCTCTGTACACACTGTGCTTATAATGCTAATGACTGAGGTGTAAAGAGCGGCCATTTAACCAGTCACAGTTGACTGCACTGCGGGCAGCACCCCCTACCCCCTTGCATTCCTGGAACTTCATTTTAGTACTACCTCCAGTGGGATGCCGAAATTTTGTTTCCGGAACGCACTTCCAAAGCGGGCAGAAGGCAGTAGAAACAAACACAGAACCTGTGATGAGCGTTACTTGGCTCAACAAATCATGTATAAAACCAGGTACTTACAAATGTTTCGCTTAATTTTTTTGCCACTGTAGGTTAATATAACAAATCTGAAATTAAAATTATCAACTATAAATAGCACATTTATTGCATTTCAAGGTATTTGCTTTAGTGTCTTTATTTACCTGCAAACTGAGGACTGCATGTTCTTCATCTACACACTGCTACTACAGGTTCTACATGAGGACAAATGTATTAAAATGATCATACCTGATTTGGTAACTATCAATGAGTATCAGTGGCAGGTGGGCGGCTTGGTCCAAATTGTAACTACTGGTTGATGGGGTGTGGATGAACATCCTATGTTTCACTCAAGCCTTAACACCTGACAAAGATGTACTGTATAAGCAGAAACTATGCATGAATTACTTGCAAGTAAATATTAAAACGACTATCAAACTGTGTACTCATCTCTCAGCAAACAGTCATACAGTATCTTATTTGACTTTGTCTCTACCTTTCTAACTTGATACTTTCAAATCTTATAGTTCAAAATGCTGAAAATATCATTTTCTTTACACATCCTCTTTTGTATTAAGATGGATAAAAAAAAAAAATCTTACAGGCTTTGTGCACTTTCGTGTGACCATATACTGCCACCCAGTGCCCTTTGAATTATATCTACTCATTCACAGCATTTTTTTAATTAAGTGAATTAATATGGTTTCTGTTTTGCTATTTACAAAAGCTAATTAATTTTGAATTGGAACTGTGATTTAAATGACAGATTATAGATACTTTGCTGAAAAATGTCCCAAGCACACATACAGTGCCACCACTACATTCCAGCTATTTCAGGAACAATCACTCTAGTATATCAATCACAATCAGGCAAATTCAAGTTGGGAAACTAAAGACAATTAAATGGCTAAAGCAGTTTTTCAGAATGTTTTCCTATGAGCATGAATCAGAATGAGCCTCCATTAGGTAGTGAATAACAATGACGGAACCCATTACCTCCTATGTAAAGCAAAAAGATTAACAGAGAAAGACCTAAAAATTAAGAGCTACTGGTGTCTATCACTCCACTGCTGAGGGCTTAATGCAACACTACCAATGGGTTAGGGATCTGAGTTGAAGTTATCATCTCCAGTGTCCACCTGGGTGTGACTATTATGTATCTCGTCAGGGCTGATCTCTCCTAATACACCCTGGAGGTTGTCATGAGTGGAACTGCTCAGAGTATCAGAGCTCAAGCCATCAGATGGAGTTCTACATCTTTGTACAGTTTGGGAAACCTCCAGAAGTGTATTTTTGTGACTCTTGTCCAACTGAACTGGTTTATCCAGAGCTTTGTACTGTAATATTTGAGTTGGATGAACTTAGGTTTCTTTTATTCCTTACTTATATGTTTCACTATTGCATTGATGACTGTTAAAACTGCTTAGTATCTTCTGTTTGTCTGTTAAAAGAATGTGTCTGCAGGAGGTCTGCGCTTCAAACTGAACCAAATGTGTGGTATTTACTGTTCATTTATTAGGGCTTGTGTACGCAATGGACCTGCCCTTTGAAGCTAACTAAATGTTCTGCATCTACTGTTCGTTTATTAGGGTTTTTATGGACAGGACTGTCTGCTCTTTGAAGATGGCCAGATGTTCGTGTTTCTGTTACTTACCGTATGACAACACAACATTCACACACTATTTGGTTTGCATATTTAGTTGCTGACGTGAGCAGAGGCTGGCTTGCTCACGCCTATGGCCAATACCATTAGGAAACGTGAACGTCCAACCTTTGTCCAGAGCG